CTGTCAACGCTCTCTGGTTTCATTTAAAAGAGTCGATCATCAGATATTGTCCAGGATTAACCTTCAGGGTGGATATAGCTCGCTCACACCAATGACCTGTCCACGTCATCATTTACCCAGAATGCTTTGCGTGTAAATAAAATGGCTCCGTTGAAATATATTTTGAAAAATTTACAAAAACAAACAGCACACAGTATTTTTACAGTCTTTATTTTACAGTTAAAATAAATGTTTATCAAATAAAGTCTAATGTTACAACTAATCATGGATCCCTTTAAGTGTTAAATCAACTATTAAGCACAAATACAAGCACCTGCACATAACCAATAAAAGAGTAAAAAGATTCGGAAAAATCAAGTTCATTAAATGAAACAAAATAAGAGTCCTCAACATTTCAGGCCAGGTAAAACTAAATCAGGCAGAAAAAATCAATCAATCAATCAATCAATCAGTGGTTTAATGACAGCAGTCTTTACTCAGGTGTGTCCTGTGTTTCCACTCCTGTCACTGCAGGGATCGCCTTGCTGTACCTTCAGCTACACACAGTCTCTCACGAAGCCTCCCACCTGCAGAGGGCGCTGGACTACGTGAAGAGGGCCATGAGAATCCTGAATGGCCGTAAAGTGACCTTTCTGTGTGGTGATGCAGGACCCCTGGCTGTGGGCGCTGTGGTCCACCACAAGCTGAACAACTCTGCAGACAGCAAGGATTGTTTGTCCAGGTGAGTGAGCAGAAGCTCCACTACTCCTGGAGGTGTGTTGAGAACAGGAAAAGTGTCGCCCTTCTTTTATCTGCGTCTCTACACGCACATAGCTTCTCTGTTAGATATCTTCTTAGAATTATTTAAAATATCTTTTTATTGAAATGTAGCAGTTATGTAAGATCTTCCTTCAGTCCAGTAACCTGAGCTGTGTTTGTCCGTCAGGCTTCTCCAGCTGCAGCGCTCCGTGCTCAGTCCAGAGTCTGACATGCCAGATGAGCTGCTGTACGGACGAGCYGGATACCTTTATTCTTTACTCTACGTTAACAAAGAAATTGGAGGAAATACTGTGGATGAAGCCACAATTACAAAGGTCAGGTCCCTCTGCTGATGCATGCTTTTACATTAATACTCTCTATAAAAGGAATATATCGTGTAAAATCTACTTTTTTTAGCTGTTTAATACATTTTGTTGTTTACTTGGAGTGCAGAAAAGTTGGTGCTGCAAAGATRTTTTTATATTCTGTTCAGGTCATATCTTTCAACCTGTTCAGTTCAGAGACAGCCTCAAAACGAGTGAATCTGAGACACACCCCAGAAAATGGGTGGGGCTTGTGGAGTTACAATAAGGAGGAATTCAGACCAAAACATATAGACCCCAACTTAATGGTTTAAATGTGAAGAAGGATTATAAGTATATATATACT